AAACAATCAGATCATCCGGGAAACCGAAAGGGGTGGTACGGGGCAGATGGGAACGGTGAGGGGGGAAAGGGGATCCATGATGACGCTGGGACGCCGCCGAGAGCGTTGCCCAAGTTTTTTAGCCGCCGAGCGGTTAATAGCCGGGGACGGCTTTGCGGAAGCGATCGTTGTCGCACGTTGTCGCTGTCGTTGTTTCCGTCCTGCCGCTGCTTGATCTCGCTTGATCTTTTGAGGAGTATAGAATGGCGGGTGCCGGGCGTGTAAAACGCGAATTAAAGATAATTGAGAGATAATATCGGGAGTGAATATTGGAAATATTATACGCGAAACGAAGCTGAAAGGAAATAATAATGACGCGCTGCGTTGCCGGGTATCTAAAAATAATTTTCAATTGACAACAACATTTCGCGTTTTTGCAGACCGTTAAATCTGAATTCAATGATAAATTACAGCGAGCAAGCAGATTAAAAATAAAAATTTCAATGTACACCCGAATCGAGCGTGCTATTAGCTGAATGAAACAGTTTTATTATCCATTTGACTCTTTGAGCCTCGTTTTGGAGAAAAATCCTTTTCTAAATTTTTGCGATTTAAAAATTATGAATGCCTCGCATTTTTGCGAAATCATTTATTTTTAATTGACCGAAACGTCGGAAAAAGCAACGGACACGGCGAAAGACCTTGGCTGAGGTAAATTTTTCGCAGTGAATTTAGAGATTAAAATCATTTGGGCACTAACGTCCGTCTTGGCTCTCATATTCTTTATCACTTCGTGTCTGTAAAAAATCTTCAACGTTGACAACGTTGTACAAAAAAAATGCAATTAAAATACGACATTCTCTGCTAACAAAATATCGCGAATATTACGCAGCAAAAGATCGTGTGTTGAAATTTTCTTGCGACACCAAGATTTGATTCTTATCTCAATATAACTTGACACTTTAGGTGTCATTAAAAAATTGAATGTTATTTTGAGTTCTTTTCCACTATTTCACAAAATTAACCAAAACATGTTAATATCTTTTCTTGAAAATTATCTCAACTATTCTAATTTGTTACTATTCGTGCAGTTTACTTATCCTGTGTCGGTTTTTATTACATCACATTTAAGGTTAAAAGAGCATAAACATAAATTTTAAGTATAGTATTAATTAATTAACATTTATATACTTGTCAAAAAGTAACATGCGCGATGAATATTATTTTAACTCAAACTTCAGAGCGAACTTTTTGGGACGTGCGACAAAATGTTAACGTTGACATTTTATTTTTTACTGTGCACATTTTGTATAAAACGAGTTTACGACCTGCCGCAATTGGATTCACCGCTCGCCGCTTGAATAATATAACATCTGTATTAGAAACGGAGACGGCGGAGAATAATACTTCGGTGAAAGATTGGAATTGAAGGGGAAACATTTGAATGCGAACGAGTAATAATAATCGGGGGCCATCGGCGTCGTTTCATTGCAAGAAAATTGAGAATAGAATGAACTCACAGCAATCTCGCTGTTCACGCTAAACCGCGCGCGATTCTTTTTTCATTTCTATTCGCGAAAACCCCCCTTTCATTTCCTCGCGGAGCGACGCATGGTTGGTATTCGCGATTATTAAAGTATAATAACTTGCGTTCTGCACCTTCGTTGTTTTCCCAAAAATTTACCACCCTTTTATCACATTGCGAATTCACGCTGCTTCATGACGCGATAAGTGCGTATATGATATTTGTAAAACCATTTTTCTTTATCTCAAAAATCGAGATGTATTTGAGATCGTAGAGTCACGCAGATGTTTATTATTTATTCGAGCGAAAGGTTCACATTTGCCAGAAATTCAACTTCAGAAGAAGAAAAATTGCACTTCCATAAATACAACAAATATAGAGTTTCCTCTATATTTGTTGTATTTATAAAAGTCTTCTGTTATAAGACAGGATTCTAATATGGGATAGCGGGGTTTCTGCTAAATTAATAGGCATCATCTGTTGGTTCCACCATGAATTTATATTGTCCTTGGAGCGAAATCCGTTTAGTGAAAAATTGATCGTTAGATCGTGTAATCGCTACGAAAAAAAGATTTGCGATAGAATTTGGGTGTTGAAAACTTGCTATCTCATAATAGAGGACTTTCCTCTAATAATTAATTTATTAGAACGAAGGAAACCCAGCGAGAAATGACTCGTCGGTCGATGTCGAAACGATACAACATTGACGAATTATTTCTCACTGGGATCATTGAACAATTCATCAATTTTAAGACGAGGCCTAGCCTTGGAAACTCCAAACGGTAAAATGACTTCGTACGCGTGTGGTGACTTTAAAAGAGGCAATCAAAAAGACGCCAAGCATAAGCCATCCGACCAAGAATTATATAATTTAATTATTTGAATATATTTTCTTAGAAGAAGAAACATTTTTATCTTCTCTGCAAAAGAAATGGCGCCCACTAAAATGGATATTCATACGAACTAGATATTTTCTTAATTTTGATATTAAAATGTTATATCCAAACGATCGAGCACGAGATTCGCGGGACCTCTTAAATTTAATAGTTTATTTAATTTATAAAATTAATAAATTTGATACTCGTTGAAACAATTTCGTCGCAGTGTTCCAAACGGCAATTTCAAATAACATTCCAGAAAGACTATAGTTTATCCTAACGTTTGTTACATTGAATATATACACGCGCGTATATTCCCGAGAAATGTAACGTTAAGAATTCACGGTTGAATCTCATTACACCAGTCGCGTCTCGGTAATCTTCGCGCCCGGCGAAGGATCCTTGGATGATCCTTGCAAACGCTTGGCGACACTCGAAGGAGACCGGGGCCGGGACGAGATCAATTCCGGGATATCCCAAGGGGTATCGCGTGTTTATCCGTTCGCAGGAAGCGAAACTTTCGGCCGCACAAATGCGGCCGCACGTGCGATTTCGCATAGGGGCGGTGCAGCGCCGTGCGGGGGCGAGGGAAGGTGGCCGAGGGTGGAGTGATATCTCCGGATGGGAAGGGAGTATCCCCCTACCGGAACGGGCTCCGCGCTTCTAGTCAGCACGAGGTGAGAGAATGGAGGACAGCCAGGTGATTCAGACGCGCGTGCCACCCCGCAGAAACTGAAACGTCCGCCAGCTCGCGCGGTCCGTCGCTCTTCTGGTCCTCGGCCTCGCGGCGGATCGCCCTCCGCGTACAGTGCGAAAGAATTTCCCAAAGAATCTCGCGGGACAACTTCGGCTACGACCGGACGGCGAGCGGTAGTCTTGTGAAGTTGTCACCGGAAGTTGACTCCCGGGACGCTGCGACGTCGAGTGAAAATGAACCCCGGTCGGATTTAATAAGGAGGCGTGTCGGGGATTAAAAGGACTGGAAAAGAGTGAATTGCATACGACGGGTTTCGAGACTCTCGAGGGATTGGAAATTTCGACTTGTAAAACTGTGAGACGCCGCGTTTTAGAAATTGGAGCGATTTCGAGTTACGGTTTTTACGAACGCGTTTCGGAAACATCGGCGGAACGGTTTTCTACACTGGAGTTAAATCCGACGACATTTGGACGGGAGGAATCCTGAATCCTTTTTGAAAAGAATACTCAAGATCCGTTTGTCGTCTTGTATAGACGTAAAGATCAACGTGGAACTTCCGAGGTTCTTTCATAAAAGAAGAACATTTTTATTTAGTCGCTTATTTATTTGGAAAGAATTGCGCCTTTAGGGAGTGACAGAGGCTCCTTCTAGATCATCCTGCCTCACCCAGAAGAAATATTCGGAAGTCTCTCGCGAGACGTCGTATGAACCATCGGCGGTGCGACTCGTAAGCCCGTTAAATGTCTGCGAAGAAGACGAGAAGGCCGTCCTCGCCGCGGCGTTTCTTCGCGCGGCTTTACGGCCATTTAGAGGCGACGAAGAGAACGGAGGATGACGAGGATGAAGATCACGCGCGAGAGAGCTCGGATTCCTCGCCGGAGATCATGGAGAAAGCATCGCACGGACTTCCCGATTCACCTGAATCGCGCAAAATGTTGCCGGTAAGTAGATTCTTCTCCCCACTGATATTAAATAGTGATTTTATTCGCTTCAACTTATTACCAAGAAGCGGAACTTAACAATCTCACCTTAACACACTCGTACCTTCCGTACCGTTTGCCCTACGCGCAATTAACTGTACCTAAAAATATCCCACCGTACTTTCTGTATGTCCTTATTTTCTGCTATTCCATCCTTATCTACTTTCTTCTCCCTACGCGGAGAGAGTTTTCTCTTGGAATTTATCTTGAAAATCATATGATCGCGGGACAACATGGCGTTTAGAAGATCTTTATAAGAGTCTTTGAAATTTTACCATACATTCTACTAGGAAAATTGTACTAGTAAATTGTACGGTAAAATTTTAAAAAATTCTTATAAAACTCTTTGAAATATCGTGGCGTCCCACGATTAACTTTCAGGATAAACTTTAAAAGAAACTTCTCCCCGTGTACTAAATGTAACTGGAAAATTGGAAGATAAAATCGCGACGGGATTATCGTAACGCAATAGTTTTAAGAAACAGCGTAAAAATAGATCTCTCTCGTCTCTCAATTTTGTTAAATTCTTCTCGAGTCTTTAAAGAAGTTTTCGAGACTTGGAGAAATTTCTTCAAGATGATGAAACTCGAGGATCCGCATTTAACTGTTCTATCCCTGCAAGGTGCCACACGCCAAGGACCTCGAAAAAGTACCGAACGACGTCGCGAATAGCAAAATATTCGAGAGCAAGGAAACGAAGAGGGACTCGGTGCTCACGGGTGTGAGACTGCCTTTCCTGCACGGACTTCTACCGCGGGGACCCGGTCAGACCCTTCATCTCACGCAGCTCGCGCATCCGCCCACGCTGCCGCCGCATCTTCACGTCCTGCCGAACCATCAGTCCATCGCCGAGCACCACTTCCAAGGATTCTCAGCCTTCCGTAAGCTCCCGTCGCTCCCGCAAATCTGCAAATTTCGGTTTTCCGCCGTTGACTAACGGTGGCGCGCGCACACGTGTCTTCCAACTTGTCCTGGAACAATCATGTAAATCAGGCGACTCCCGTCGTCCTTTATCAATTTTAATCAGGCAACGAACTTGAATTCTTCAACGTGACGGAATTGAATTAGCTTCGACAAGTATCGTTTTCTTTTTATAATCCAGTCAGTCAATTTAATTTAACTGATTTAATAATTCACGTTGTTGCTCTGAAATGTTTGAAAGCATCAGAATTTTTTGAAGATCCTCGGATTTTAAATACCTGAAAATAAACTGGCCTCATCGCGGGGTTCATTATGTCAAAATCTACAAGCGAAACGGGCAGTTACCCATACAGCACAGATGGTTGCAGTTACATTGCAGAAACGTTGCAATCTTGCAGAGACATTGCAGGGATATAAAATTGCAAACTTTCGATAGCAATATTGCAGCAATGTTTCAAAAATAATAAAAATACTGTATTTTCTATTTAAAAAATTTTCTAATTACGATAATTTTATAATGTTATTTTCGTTGATATCAATAATGCGCGAATTATTAAGTACTTGATCAGTGCGGTGTTGCTCGCAATCTCCATCTATTGCAAAGCGACATAATTTCTTTAGGTTGCTTCGCAATAGCTTGCTGTGTATTGAAAAAGGCCCGGATGCATATGTAATTAGTAAATTCTCTGCTTATGTACAACAACGAGAAATTATTCCAAAAATATTGCGCCGCAACATTGCTATAATGTTGCACTGCAAATCTCTCTGAGGGCGGACATTTCAACGTTGCTGCAATCCTCCAGAAACGTTGCAGCAATGTTGCGCAACGTTGCTGCAATATTGCAATATTACAATGTAACATTTCTGCAATCTTCCTGCAATCTTTCTGTGCTGTGTAGGTAGATGAGTTGTTAGACGTTCTGCGAATGTACCAAAATCTCAACGCTGGTACAATTGTCTCAATATTGCCTCGAGACATTTTCCATTCAACTTGACAATATACATTCAAATCCCGAATTTTAGAGGACGGATTTCATACAGCATTCTACGCGGCATTATCGCAACGTATTTTTGGTCAAGAAACAAGCATTCCATTGCATCCGTCGTGCAAGCTGCGTGAAGACACGTACATGGAAATGTAGGTGACTGCGTAACGTGTCTCCAAAAGCTCGACACACACACATACACGCACTCTCTCCTCTCTCTTTCCTTCTCCCTCTCCCATATTTTCTATCCCCTTCCTCCTCTCGCCGTAAGCTGAGAATCGAAAGACGTCTTTGCGTTGAAGCATTCGCGAATCAGTAAGCAGATTTTGTGATGTCGCATTACGTGACGCCGAGCGGACACGACCACCGTCCAGACGGAGAGGATATTCAGGCACTCTTCCGTCGTCTTCTGCGTCGACAATGGCGCGCGGTCCCACACGGGAATTATTTCTTGGGGATCAATTCGGACGCCTTTGAAATCTAATAAAGAGCTTCCGACATTTTCCCTCCTCGCGGCCCGGCCTTTTTTCCGGAAAATATTTTTCCCGTTTACATTCGTTCGTCAAATTGTCGGTAATGGGCAAATTTTTCAAAGAGGGGAGATCGCGAGGTGCGCACTGTTAAATTTAACAATGAGTAGAGAGTTACTGTCCCTACACTCTCTAAAAGTCAATCAAGTGGATTATCAGTGAAAACAGCGAATAGTCACTGATTTGCAGTTATAAGTAGAGGAAAGCCCCCCGTTATGAGACAGACTCCTAATATGAGACAGCGGGGGTTTCCGCTAAATTAATAGGCATCGTCTGTTGGTTCCACCATGACTTAATCGAATATATTGAGCAAGACCAGTGACGACTACTCATTGAGTCTCTGCGGATTTAACAGCACGCACAGGGCATTTTTCGCAAATTGTCCCGCGCGAAAAGTCGACGGATTTTTGCTAAAGTATAAAATAGGATTCGGCGTACGAAAACCGTGGGCTTCTTCGAGGATTCGATACGAAAAGCGCGCAGCTTTTTCAAGTTTCCAAGCGGATACAGACACTTTTCTCGGACACCTACCGCGAGATTTAAAAAATTGAAGGGAAACTTTCCTATCGGGACGACCTCCTCACTCATCGTAAGCGGAAGTTTTCTTCCATCTTCCACTCGTTCCGGGAGTCATTCGAACTGACGTTGGAGAACGGTATATCTCAACTGTGAAACAGGAGCTGTTCCGACTGAACAGCCCTCGCAGCTATAAATGACGGATTTTTCATAAAAATAGGACAAGTGCGGTGTGAAGAGCGGATTGCGGATTTCGGACCAGGTACCATTTCCAACGGTTTTGTTTTTTCCCCCCCACAAACCGTGTTCCGAGATACTCCACGGAGGATATCGCGACAGCCGAGGGCGGGGGAAGGATGAATTAACGAATTTCACTCTTCATCTGGAAAGTTTGATCGCGGAGCGACGACAAAAACACTGCGGGGACAAGCCGCGCGCGCGTGTGCGCGGTTTTATCCCGCTTCGACACTTCGTCGCGATATTGTGATGAGATTACGAGACGCAGTTGGCCGCTCCTCAATGCGAGAAATACGCGCCGCGATGTATTCCCTGTGAAAAACCCCGGCTTTCTCTCTCTCTTTCTCTCTTTCTTCCTTTTCCTTGCCCACCTAAGCCTCACAAGCCACCGCGCGACTCGACTCGCCGGAAAATACACGCGCCGGGTGTTTGTAAGTCGCTTGTATATCGCGAGGAATCCCTGTGCCTTATCTATCTCGCGATATACCTGGCCGGCGTATCCCGATTTCATCCTCCTCGAGCCCAATTTGTCCCGAGAGACGCTTAACAGGTGCCGCAGCATCATCGACCGACGTAATACGGGAAATCAACACGTACAAGAAATAATTTTTTCCGCCCCCGCGTTTATTCATTCTCGTTTATCGCTGAATATATATGTAGTGTTTCATGCAATAATGTCGACTGTCACACGCTTCAGAGAGCGATTGAAATAAAATAAAGAGACAATCGCAATAAAATTCGGCGATGGTGCGCCGAGAACTAGAAGCGAAGTAGTTATTTGCTACCTTGCTTTTAGTAACTGCTTCGCTTATAGTTCTCAGCGCACCATCGTCGAATTTTATTTCGATTGTCTCTCTATTTCGTTTCAATCGATCTCTGCAGCGTGTGACAGTCGGCATTATTAAAATTCCATGATGGTGGGTTGAGAACTAGAAGCAAAGTAGCAAGTATAAACCACTTTGCTTCTAGTTCTCAGCGCACCATCGTCGAATTTTATTTCGATTGTCTTTTTATTTTATTTCAATCGTTCTCTGAAGCGTGTGACAGTCGGCATTATTAAAATTCCACGATGGTGGGCTGAGAACCAGAAGCAAAGCAGCAAGTATAAACCACTTTGCTTCTAGTTCTCAGCGCACCATCGTCGAATTTTATTTCGATTGTCTTTTATTTTATTTCAATCGTTCTCTGAAGCGTGTGACACTCGGCATTATTAACATTCCATGATGGTGGGCTGAGAACTAGAAGCAAAGC